TAAAAACGTGGTTTATCTTATTACTTGTAAGGTATGTGGCATTCAATATGTTGGATCCACTACCACTACTTTTCGGTCTAGGTTCAATAATCATAGAAGCAGGATCAATGCCCATCTCAAGTTGTCTTCTGAAAATAAGAGGAATGACGATTTTCTTTACCAGCATTTTCATAGTTCGGGACACTTAGGATTAAGCCATTTAACTATACAGTTAATAGACAGAGCCATGGGAGAGAGGGAGTTGCGGAAGAAGGAGGGACAGTGGATGTATAGATTGGGAACGCTGCGCCCTCAAGGACTTAATGAAGATGATGGTTTTTACGCCCAGAACCGCAAGACGCGCGCGGGCGCGCAGGAGATGATAGTGTCATCTATGACATTTTCCGTTAGACGTTTAAAATAACAGTCATTTCAGTTGTGATGCGCACGCGTTACCTTCGTAATTCAGCAATTTAAAAGTTTTGTACGTTAACAGCTAGTTAGTCACCCTGAAGAAGATCACTGAATGTGATCGAAATATAGGTGGATTGAAAGGAAACTGTTTTCTGTCTTCATTTGTGATTAAGATATATATATATATATATATATATATATATGATGAAACAGTTGAAATATTCTTTTTATATTTGTATCCTTTTTTTTGGCAGCTGAATTTAAAATTGTTGAACAAGTATCCTTATAATTAATACAAAATGGCCTTTATTGCACCATTACAAGGAGAGCTTGTATAGGTTTATAGCCAGCAAATGGTACCTAGAAAATGTTAGGTCTCTGAGGGCCTGTTCATATGAGGTGAGCCAGACTGGGAGCAGGACTGGCCCGCTTTACTGGGCTGGCTTGGCTCATACCTAATTTCTCTTTAAGTTTTTGTTGTGTTTATATAAGAAGGCAGGCTGGTTCTTTTGTTGAGATCTCGGTTGAAGTAACCGGGATCTCAGCAGGGCCAGCCTGCCTTTTGATGTAAACAAACAAAAATTTTATGAGGAAACAAGGCATGGGCCAAGTCAGCCTGGTAAAGTGGGCCAGCAGGGCTAACTGGGCTGGCTTGCCTTGTATAAACAGGCCCTGAAAATATTTGATCTCTGATCTCGAAGTCTCATTGCGTTTTCTTTCTATCACAGAGTTTAGAGCTTGTTACAGCAAAGTCACAGATTTCATGATTCCTTAACCCTCATTTGCAAAGCATGTTTTGTCCAATTAACTTTTTTTATGACATTTGGTTTCATTTTGTTAGTTAATAACATAACCTCATTAGTTTGGAAAAGAAACAACGATGTATTTTGCACTGTATTAGCATTTCAGGGACCATGGTCAGGCATAAGCTGCAGGTGCATTGCTGTATTTGCTACCTAAAACTCCTGAGCGCCTGCTAGTACAACTTCATGACATGCTGTACGAATGAATGGTTTTCTGATGCAACTTTTCCAGCTTGTCCCCCACAAACATCCCTAAAAGAGAGCTGTTCAATAAACAAAATCACTGTTAGTATTGTCCAGTTAGAACAGCCTAGCTATTGTCTTGTTATGTTATTGTTATTTTCTCTTGTGATTTAAAGGGACCATACGACAAATTAAGAAACCCAAAATTAAGAACAACATTATTCGTAATTTGGAAGTAGACACGGTCAATGAAGAGGGTCGTACAGGGGGGGTCTCTCACACGGTTCACGAATAGAAAAAACAGCGAATCACGGATCACGGCTATCAAAATTTCATTTTCCCGAATCACGAAAATAAACAAGTAAGGTACTCGTTTTAATAACCTTCTCTTACGGTAGAAAGAGTGTTTGAAGAAAGAAAAATCGTTAAAGGCTAAGTAAAGGCTGCTTATCGGAAATCACATACCTAAATCACTCTCGATGGACGACTCTGACCATTCGTCCACTTCGCGTTGTAACTGCCCGAAGAAACAACAAATCGTCGAAAGAATCTACCTCGTAATTGTCAGCAATAGGATATTCAGCGTCTGAGTCAGTGTCATACTCTTCCTCCTCTTCTACCTCGGCTTCCTCTACTACTTGAACATCTTCAATGGCCTCGTGCGATGTAGAAGGCGTAACAGTCGTAACGGTCGTAGCAGAAGTAACAGTCTCCTCTTCGACAGTGTTAGGGCTGAATGAGACTTTATCTTTAGGATAGTCTGATGTTCTGTACATGTTTAACGGCAATGTTCCGGCCTTGAACATGGTGGTCTCTTGTCTCACACTTCTCTGTCGTGCAGCCCTCCCATTATTTGTCGCCCACTCAATCATGAGGTCTTTTTCCTGCCTATTTAACTCCCTTCTTGCCTTAAGATGCTCCAGCTTCGGAATGGCATTTAGTGGAGTGCTCTGGCGCAACACGGGATAATATGATTTATCATGTGTGAAGTAGTAGGCACTCCAGGGTACTACACGCTTAATGCTTTCGTATACGGTATTTGCCAGATTCCGTGCGTACTGCAAAAGGGTAGGAAACTGGTCCTTGAAATGACCAACTGCGTGTAGGTTTTCAACCTGAACTGTTAGACAAGAGTACAGATCAATGGCGAAGCTTGGGTTATGTTCTTTAACTAACGCCTCCAGATCTTTCAGTCCATTTAATATCATGTTAACCGAACGCTTTGTCTGATTAGAAATAGTTCCTTGAGAACCGCTTGGTTTACCTGTGCTGGCATCGTTTACATCGTTGCTATGCGACAACGCTTTTTCTGTTGTTTTTTCCAAGTAACTGTCAAGTTCTTCCAGAAGCTCGATTGCTTGTTGTAGGGAACGTTTTGGTACAGTCTGATGTTTCATATGAACAGAAAAGGCTTTATACAGGAGACCAAGGTGGCTTAAATACTTTACAATGCCTTTTATTGAGGTAATTAGCTTCACAGAGCCTGTTTGAGCATTGGTGATGAATATGTTCTTATCGTGCTCCACACATATGCCCATAGGCTGCGCAAATGTTGCTTGGTCTCCCTTTCCATTCGAATTGCCTTCCTTTCCTGTGCCAGCAATAACTAAGGCCTCCTCACCACAGATCTTCGTCTTTATTTGCAGGCTTCCAATGTCCACATAAACTATACCAGCGAGATACGAGGCCACGTGTGCGCTTTCACTGCATTCTACAGTTCCGTTTTGTACGATCACGGTTTCCTCGAGTGTTGACATTGCAATACTTAAGATTCCGCCTGGGTTGCCCTTGTGAGACAGATAAAGGATGTTATTGTTAAGGCACATAGACACTGCTTCTGTGCAAGAGGCTGAGTATTTTGTCAAAACTGTAACATTGCCTTTAACTGCCACTCCATCCATCTCTAATGTAATGGAATAGATAACCTTGTCCACATCACTGGCACAAAGGATGATACTATCGCTTGCCTTAGCAATTCTGGATGGTTCGATCTTTTGAGAAAGCTGAACTTTAGTCAAGTCACTTTTTGTTTCTACATATGTTCTTTCTACATTCTTTAGATGCATAGAGAGTCGTTCTCGAAGCACCGGAACTGTTCCGAGTGTGTCAAGTCCTCTCTTCTGCAACTCAGAAGTGAGCTCTACTTTTTTGAGATTCTTTAACTGTAACGTTGGCTTCTTTGCAATGGAAAATAGTTGTATTCCTGTGGGACAGCTTACATACGCTATTCCATCGCAGTAAGCGAGCGATTTAGCTGCACTATGGCATTCTCCAACAACCTTGACATCTGCTGGGACATGAAGCCTAACTACTAGAAGCCTAGTGAAGTTCTTCAGTGGAGCATAGTCCAGAACGAGAAGTTTTCCGTGCTCACCGGGGCAAATTGCTACGGGATGCGGATATAGCCCTACCTTGTTGGTCTCACTGATTTTGTAGCTGTCTGGGAGAACTGAATGCACCACGCGATCGACGGTGCGGAGACGAGCTAACACAGACTCTTTACTCAAATGTAGTATACAGTTTATGTCCATCCGATCTTTATTTAGGACACTGTCTCTTGGTAGCAACTTCTTCAATTCCGGATCAGAATCTCGGATTGTGTGCAACATTGACAAACATGCTCTCTCCTCATCCAACAGCAACATCCAGTTGGCGAAGCTACACTTTAAACTTTTGCCTACGTGAACGGCATCAGGAAGGCAAACGAATATAAACTGAGGGGGCAACGTTCCATCAGCCTTGCTCTGAGAAATCAATTCAAATGCTCTTTTGTTCCCAGATTCACAGTCCGATGCCAAAACAAGAACCACCGCTCGAGAACACTGAACATTGGATTGAAGACACCGTTGGCAAGCACGAAGAGATGGTACGTGGCTAAGCTGCCCTTGAGCACGACAGGTGTTACAGACAGAAGCAGTCTCTATGCAAGCCTGGCATACACTTTTGCAAATCGCTGTAGCAGGTTTATCAAGAATATGCTGTGATGAAACCGCTGCCTTTATACAACAATGACATGTTTGCAACAGCTCAACCTCATTGAGAAACTGTTCTTTCATCTGTTCTCCTGTTTTGCCTGCCTTGGTTTTGTAGGTGACACTGACTGGCATGGCAACCCCGTTGTCTGTCGTTGACAAATAAGTTACATTTGCCTCTGTAACCACATTCTCTTTTAGAAATTCAGATTTTGGGACTGGATTAGCCTTAACAAATTCTATATCGGCGGTCATCTTCAAACCAACGTTTATTTGCTGTTTCTCGTCGTATTGTATTGCAGGCTTTAAGGCTGTCCCATCGTTCTCCATTGCTGCACCAATTACTTTAACAATCGGTGAATCAACAAGTGGCTTCATGTCAACTGATGGATCTACAGCAAGTGTTAAAAAGGAATCAAGCCAAGGCTTGATTACCCCACTTGAAGTCGTATATCCCGATGAATGCTTTAATCTTGTCGTTCGTCCGGGTCCTCCAAGGTTTAGTTTAGCGCTCTCTGGATTGAAAACTCCACCACTGCCACAGCCATGCCACATGGGACCCCTGATAAAGTTAACAGTCCTCTCTCCACCAAGGAATTTAACAGAGTTGAAAAATTCGACGACTTGTTCATCATATTTGTGGTTTGGGTCAATCATAGCATACGAAACAGAATCGAGATATTTGTAAAATATTTTGTCCTTAGGAATTTGGCCAGTTTTAATTAAACTATCTAATCTGATGCAAACATCGTCTGCTTTCTCCAGCGATATGGGAAATATAAAATATTCCTTGTCTATGTCACTGTCTGTCTCTTCACCATTTGAATTGTAAGACTCGAGGTCTAAATTGTATTTGGAGTCTTCAGAATCTGAAGCTGTCAAGAGGTCGGTGTCTGTGTCAATATTATAGCTCTTATTGTTTAATTCGTTATCTTGGTCACTATCACCAACATCATGATCAGAAAACCTGTAGGGTGGAAGCACATTCGTACTATTACACGTATGGTCACTTAAGACACTTAACCATCTCTGCCAAGATGTTATCTTTTTATTATTATTGTTTACATTATCATATGCTCCATATTTAAGGGCAAACAAGATATTACAATAATAACATTTGAAGAAAGCTAACATCACGACAGGGTTAGACACAAGGATGTGACGTGATAAAAACAACAGCTTTCAGTGCATTACAGAAATCTGATTCGCTTTAAAGGTATATTTTTCAAAATATAGATGAACATTAACAAGTAAGATAATTTTATTTCTTACTCCATAGAGGCATTGAAATGACAGTCTATTTCTTCATCACGGTCGCAGTCATAATCAACATTGTTAGGGCCAGATTGAGAGGCGTTAGTGACGGGATCGGGTCGTGCAAGAAATTGTTGCATGGTATTTCTCATTTTTGCGACCTCAACAGCGGACTTCTGTTTCGTGGCTTCTGTGGATTTTTGCTTTACACAAGCCGTATCATAGTGCTCTAAAATATAAAATAAAATGCAAGAAAATGCACATTATCATTGCATTGAATTTAACTACTACAAAGTGGTCCAGGGAAGTCTAGAAGTTTTCTGCAAGAATTGACAAGGAGTCACATACTTTTCTTGAAGTATTCTGTCCTTGCTTTGAGGGTTCGATCTACTGCCACCAGCTTTTGCTTCTTACAACGCCCACAAAGAATCACCGCCTTGCTGCCATTAAGCTCCCCTAGTACTGAAATAGAAGAGTCATAGAATATATATGGTATTCAGCTTCCAGACATTACATGTTTTATTAATCAAGTAACATGAAATATCGAAGCTGTGTAGGATATGTCCTTTTGCTAGAAATTTATGTCTTTGTGTGTCCAATGGCTATAGACTACATTTGTAAGCGCTGACGTCCAAATACGGACCTAGCGGCCAGATTTTCCCCATTCCTCATCCCCCACCCCACCCCTCACCAGGCACGCGATAAAAATGATGAACAATGGAAAAGCAAACTACAAAAATATTTATCGCCCCTTCCCTCCAAGCGATGGAAACTTTTACCCGTACCATTGTTCATCTCCTCGAGCTCTTTTTTCTGTCTTTCATTTCGCTCGAAATCTTGACCTTTCTTGATTCTTTTAACAAGTTCTTCGTCCTCCAGTTTTGCTGCTGATCTCTTCCTTCCAGTTCTTCTGGGTTTGCTTATGGGCGTGCCAGTATCTGCATTGTGGGTGGCGAGGCAGACCTTGATAACAGGCGATGCTTTTTCAAAGTTGATTTCTTTTCTTAAAACGTTTACTGGAAAGTATTAAGAAAAAAATATAAAGAGGTCATAAAAACCTCCGTTTCACTTTCTATTCTTTTCGCACACTTTAAGGATTAAGCGATGTAGTCTTTACACTAGACTGTCACGGTTAAGCCAGACTTAAGAGCTGCTAAGTTTTACTTAACCCAAAATACGTGTGTGACGGACTAAGTAAAATCTCAAGTAAATTTCCTTTGCATCTCGTTAAAGTCGCCGGGAAAATTGAAACGTTTCACGAAAAGTTTCAAGTGACTTGAAAACCATCCTTACAACCGACACAGCGAACTTACGGTTTCTTGAGCTTTGAAGAAAGCGGAGCATGTCAATCAAGCTTAATTAATTGCGTGGAGGTAAACTTGAAGTAAAATAGCATCGCCCGTGTTTGAAGCTGTATTTTACCTGAAGTATTTAAAATTTACTTGTCTTGAAATATTTCTAAGTTAACTTTGTACTACCATCGTCATCCTGACATAGTCGCCGTATTCTCTTGTTCTTCTTTTAACCTTGATTACTTATTAACCTATAGAAAAGTCGGCCCGTATCTTTCAGAACGGTCCTTGATGTC